ACACACACACACACACACACACACACACACACACACACACACACGGTTTTCAGTAATTAAGATACTATGCATCTCTCTGTTATCAGCAGCTTGATAATGAAAATGTGATTTAAAGGAATAAAAGCTTTATTACAATAACAAAATGCAGCAGTTATTAAACATAAATTGAGACTTGGCAGAATCACAAGAAACAATATTGCTATTGTCACTCTTTGCATGCCTTTGTTTGTAAAGTGTAACTTCAATAAGCTTGGCTGAAGATGATTTTGTGGAGGAAGAAACACCACTTTAATTTTTGATATTTTAAGACCAATAGGCAGAGTGGTACGTCTAATTTTGCAAGTCCTTGGACCGTTTTTATTTGTCATTTTTAAAAGGAAGGTTCTTACTCCTCCCACATCTTTGTGTACCACACGACTGCATCACAAGAAGAACACTGATCTTAAGCGATCTCCGTCTGTGACACTCACCATGGCGAAGGACTGCGGGGACAGCGGGCCGTCTGATTGGCTGCTGGGTGCTGGTGGAGGAGCAGGAGGGGGAGGAGTCTGCTGGCTACCCGTGGAGATCTTCAGACTGGCTATCAGCTCCTCAAACTCAGACGAAGCCTAAGGGGGAGAAATATGTGAAGGTTCCACCGTCGATATAAATCAGTAGATGCAACATTACGTTACGCCATTACCTGTGTATGTTTTCAATCACATTCAACGAGTCAGTACAGAGTAGATTTAGGTTTATTTTTGTCAAATAAAAAGAGTTAGTCAAGTAGGTGACTTGACCAGCTGAGTTCTCAGTCAAAGTTAGCACAGATTGCTATCATAAACAGCAAACAGTGCTTACTGCTAGCTACACTAACTTTGCTCAGAGGTAACATTAACGTCACATGTTCACCACATCTAACTAACCCCAAATCAATCCAAGCATTACCAATCTCCATTGAGTAAAGCTATATAACCCACGTCTTCAACAGGTTCAGTAATCCAGTCGGAGAAAGGACATTTGTCCATCAGCAGTTCACATCAAGCAAGAAATGGAGGTACATTCTTATGATGTTTTTGAAATGATCGTCATTGTGACGAGTCCATCAGGAGTTCTGCTGAAGGCGTTAACCTTTCCAATCAAAAATGTATTCATTAAAACAACTCATTTACAGTTAGCGAGGCTCTTCAACCGCTCCTCATTATCAAATCAAAACCATGTTGGTTGACCGGAAATTGTGACTCAATTTTTGACATGAATGTATGACAGCAGATGCGTTTGTGTCTGATTGTAACTGCCTGCATATAGTTCATAATATTGAATCTATTTGGGATTTCTACATCAAATATATTCCTGAATGAAGAATACCAAAGAAAGTTTTCACATATTAAGTTCAGACAAATTAAAGCAATTAGTGTCTGCAATATAAAATGCACAATTATGAGATGATGATCATCATCATGATTGAAAGCATGATGTGTTATAAAATATTAATATAAAATCTAAATCTTTGGTTTTTTTTTTGTCATTGAAGACTGGCTCACTTTCACCATACGTTCCAATTACAGCAAGTTAAAAACTGGACCCATATGTCATAAAGAACAATAGGTTCAAAAGGAGATTAAAAGTGTGTGTGTACCTTATTGGCTGTGCTCTGTGGGGGGAAAAGGGAGTTGGCGTCTTCATTTTTCTTCAACAGTCTGATTCCGGTAACTGGGACCTGCAAAGTACACACAGCAACAGTATTCCAGCCACATATTCACACACATGTAAATATAACAGATCTGCATCCAATACAATCATGCAAATACAGCTCAGTGAATACACAAACACACATAAACCATCTATGGATCTCTAGTTCTACAGCAGTCTCTATAAATAGACATTGATCCACACATGCAGCTCAGAGCCGGTGACCTGACATGTTGCAGTGTTGTGCTTTGAGCATTCTCTGACATGTGCATACTTACGGCATTGTTGGACTGCTGGTTCTTCCCCTGTTGGACAAGTCCTTCCTAGAGTTGGAAACACACGGTTGTTTTATTTTATGCTTTAACACACTCAGTCACATCTTTAAGAGTCCGTGGAAGACGGTCCATTCAGCTAAAATCCCACAGAGACAGAAACCTTTTGAATTACTTGTTTATCAGCACAGCTGTACTTTTCACATCTGGAACTAGCTGCGTATGTCTTGACCTTCACCTGTGTGGTTCTGGTGAACACGTATGCTGCATCGCTGATACAGACTGAAAACACGCTGCTAGGGAAAGTGATCATCTTAAGGTGAATAATGGTTAGTGTTCGGTTTCATCTATGGAAGCAACATTATGTTCCATTTGATTAATAAAACATGCCCACATTTTACACAATATAGAACGATCTCATGGAGAAAATCACTGCTCGCAAGTTGCAAACCACAACAACTAAGTTACAGAGAGGGCCAGCACCATGGTGCCATATTAGTCTTTTGTCATTCTCAATATTAAAAACAAACGCCTCCATACTCTCTCACACAGACATACATTGTGCCAATGAGCAGGAGGGTTGAGAGGAGGACCAGAGTTCTGCAGAGACTGCCACACGTTGTTGTACTCCTGCAGAAGTGGAGAGACACACAAAATAAGAAGCTGCATACATTTGTAAGATCACATGGTTAAAATGGGCGATACACAAAGAAGACCTTCCACTTACCTTGGCCTGTTGTTTCTGGATGGGACCCTTAGAGGGAGAGCTCCTGTTGCCCTGGGAGGCTGCCTTCCCCCCACTGTGTTTATTGTTATGCTGCAGGAGTGGAGAGGTGGAATAGAGAAAGAAATGGCGAGGTGAGACACAAAATAATACATTTTTAAAATATAATGACTAAAAAACGAAACACTGCGTGTTTGCGTGGGGCCGGGCTCCAGCCTTACCTGTGCCGGTGTAAAGGGGGAACGTGGAGAGTGGTTCAGACCGGGCGGCTGCCGTTGGGAGTTGAAGTTGGCGGCTGTGGTCGGCTGAGGTTTGATGATGGCGGTGAGTTTTTGGGAGTTGTGATCCACTCGCGCTCCGTGGGAAAAGTTAATGAGAGCGCAGGGGGGGAGGCGGTAACCACGAGGGGACGCACACCTGAAGAGGGAGGAGTCATATGTCTGGGTCACAAATCATGCTGGTGTAGAGGGGGAGGCTTTTACTTATACACCAATATATTACACGACTCTGAGCAATAATCACACTGCAGATGTGATTACCTGATGTTGAGACCTCCAGCAAATTCGTCATCAAAGATCACTTCGTAGAGAACCTCTGCCTCACGCTCCGCTGAAGGCACAAAGACAGACACAATGTAAAGGTGTGGGGACTCTTCATAGTGTCTCCTTTAGAACATGGACGCTGTAACAGTATGAAGAAGTCCTAACCTCCTTTGATGCCGATGACTGTTCCCCTGAGCCCCAGAGGGACGGAGAAGCTCTCCCTGGTGTTGATGACTCTGTCGAACAGGCGATACTCTGAATCCGGGTCTGGAACCACCCCCTGCTGCTGTGCCAAGGGCTACACACACACACACACACAACAAAATGGAGAACAAAATTAAAATACGGAATATTAGTGGACCATTTTTCCCGTTCAAAAACATTCACATCCAGGCCGACACAAATATCTGTGTTCCGCTCATTCCACCGTCACACGATCATCAACTCAGTAACGTCATTGTTGCTTTCACTAATATTTAACACGCAGGAGACGAGCTCGATATTAAATGTGCCACACTGGTGGAAAACGTACAATGTGGTCATATTTCCTCTGGGTGGCTCCAAAGCAGCATGCACAGTAAATGCTGAGCTTCATTGGTCTTCATGTGTTTACAATACTTCATACATGGCCTTCAAGGTCATTAATAATAATAATAATAAAAATAGGTGTTGTAAATGTTGGCATGTCGAGTGAAGTACTTTGGGTGGTTAGAAGACTAGCAAAGCGTCCTATGAAAGCCCGTTTACCATTTCAACATTTCAACCAACAGCCCAAAACCAAAAGACATTTAATTCACAATCACAGAAGATAACTCTCACCTCTGAGAAGCTGGAATAAGACAATCTTTGGCTTTTTGTGCTTGAAAAATTAGCTACATAACTATTTAAATAATTAAGTTTCAATTTTTAAATAGTAAATAAATTATTTTTCGTTGACAATTTATGAATTTTTTTAAATAGGGATGGAAATATTTAAATATGTTCTATCTCTTCATTTCTTACAAAACGCAAAGCTAATCCTTTCACATGTGATTGTCAGAAGGCAAATATAAAAAAAGAACACTAAGGACAAACATTCATTTATCAGCTTATCAACATCTTCGTTGTAACATTGAGTATTATTTTTAAAACAAGTATGATGTCAATGACTCGTTTTAAAAATGTGCACTTTTCCAACTCTTCTCGACTCTCACGAGGCCCGATTTAAAAGATCTAACAGCAATGTGAACACAATCTAAGTTACTTGTGAGATCTTTCATGACGCGTGCAGGAAGTCAGCCAAAGATGAAAAAAAGTGCAGTAAACATAGTTCAAAACTGCACCAGAGGAAGCTTGATGTGCAATTTCCCAGCATGCCACCAGGGGATTTACCAATATACACATATGATACACACGACATATTCAGGCAAAAAGCACTCACCCTGAAGAGGAGATGAGGCTTGACTGTCACACGGACCTTCTTGGTGCTCTTCTTCACCTGAGAGAGCGAGACAGAGAGAGGGGTGAGTTCACACCTCTGATGGAGTAACAGGAGGAGGCGTGCTGTAGTCTGAGCTCGTTTGAATGTGTGTCACCGTCACCTTGGCTTTCTCCACCGCCTCCTCGATCCTCTCCACGATGGCAGAGTCCAGCACCTGTAGGTCACATGACGTCCTGCCGATGGAGCTCACCGGGTGACCTTTCAACCACGAGGTGATCTCAGCAACCTTCTCCGCCCTGTGGGGGGAGTCAGTATTAAGAGATCATCAATGAGTGCCCCGTCCTTTCAGGGAATAAACCAAGTTACAATTTGTTCAAACTGAAAAACGTTCAATAGAGGTACAGCAGGAAGAAATGACCTGAGCTTATTTAGGTTGCAGTTCCTCTATTTCTTTATCTGACAGACACATATTTAGGCTCTTCCTAGCCATGCTGCAATTTATATCATTATGTAACCCACAATCACAAGAGATATAACAAAATACTACAGTGTGTGTGTGTTTACCCATTCTGGTCCTCTGCAGGCCAGATGTCATCTTCATAGAAAACATCGTCGTGACTGTTTCTGGACACTAAGTTGAATACTTCAGAAAATCTAGAAAAGCATAAAAAATAAATAGTATAAAATGTTGAAATATCAGAATCAGAATCTGTTTATTGCCAATGTATGTTGCACATACAAGGAATTTGTCATGGCAGGTGGTGCATAACATTAAACAATAGCATTAAACAATCAACAATCAACACAGTGCAAGAAATAGAAACATTCAAATTTACAAAAGAATATAAAATAAAGTGCACAACAAACAGAGAACAGTACTATAAACAAGTATGATGAAGTGTAATGTAAAGTGTCAAGTGTGTTAAATACACTGACTCTGGATCAGTAGCTCATAAAACCCTACTTCTAGAAACTCTAACGATCCCGTTCATGTTTCTTTGGTTTACCTGTCGAGGTATTCGGCCAGCAGCTCCTCCACAGCAGCAGAGTAGAGCCACTCCTTTTCGGTTCTCTTCGTGTATCCAGGAACCTCCTCGTTCTTCTTGTTGAACTTCAGGTTGAGGCCAACGTTAGCTTTCTGCTCCCCACAGGGGCTGAGAAGAGTGAAGGGGAAACATTGGTGCACACAAGGACAGCAGGGGAAATACAGTTCTGACCAGTGGAACTAACAAAACACTTTACTACACAACAGGCAGTTTTTTAAACTACAAATATGCCTCTGCCAAACAGTCGTGTGGCAGTTTACATGTCTGTCCAAAAGGTCCTCAATTTTATCCCATCAGGATAAATATCAAAAATATAACTCTTTAGGTTTCTGCCTGGGAGAGTGAAGGTAGCTGTCTAGAATGGTCACTTCAGATTTAAACAGGCCATGAAAGTGTAAATTCTTACATATTAAAAAAGAAAGAAAAAGAAGATGTAAATGTGAGAACAGCAAAAGGTAAATCTTGTGTGTCCTAACTTGAACCACTCACTTCTTCTTAGAGCCTCTGCCGATGAAGATGCTTCCTGAGAAGCGGGACACGAGGTAGCTGGTGATGCCGAGACGAGATGCCAGAAAGTATCCGGGACTGTACTTCACACAGTACTTCTATAAAACAAAAACACGTGAGGCACAAATGGAAAGTATTCTCACAATCGACACCATTTCTCAATGGAATCGCACGACAGTGCGTCTCTTACATGCTGATTGTGAATCAAGGGCTCCAGCTGTGGCTCGTGCGGCACGTTGAAGACGACTCGCACCCGGCCGTCTTTAATGACGTCGCTCGAGTCTTGAACCTGTTGGAGTAGTAAGAGAGATGGTGATTCAGAAGGAGACATTTCGATAAGCCAACGCGTTCCACTAATGAGAAAGTGCTGTGAGCAGCACTTACCTCGCCCATGGCACCGTAGTACGGGTTCCCCACCATGAAGACAGTGGTTGCCGGAGGAAAGAGCTCGTCTAAGCTCGTGAAGCAGGTCAGAGACGAGTAGAAGGCCTCAATGTCCTGAAGAGACCACAGCAAACGTGGAATATGAGTCTTCAGCATTATCAGTCAACGAGGTGTCTATGTGAATGTGCACCAATATCAATATCCCTCATTCTACTGTGTCTCTATAATATATCACTGGCTTTCAGATCACACTGCTCACATAGTTGGTCGGATGTTTGTTTCTTCTAAGCCTCAACAATTGCCTTTTAACAGATTTAATGGATAGAACATCTTGAAGTAAACTGAGTGGAAATAAGTACCTAGGAAATAAAAACAATGAATATATTATTACAGCCAGTGAAAAGTGCATCTTTAAATGTGTGATACATCTGGAATCAATATTAACACTTGCCCATACATTTTTATTAAGAACATTAAAATAACCCTTCTGGGGAAAATGTAGAGTAAAGAATATACAATATAAAGTTGTCCAGCTTCCTTCAAACAAGAACTATCTCCAAAATCAAAGCAATCATCTCCCGGGCTGAGCTGAATAACTTATTCTTGCTTTTATCTTCTCAGGACTTCAGTACTGCAACTCCCTCCTCTCTGGTAGCGACCTAAAGCCATCAGGGCAGGTGGGCTTGTTTTAACCATCAGGGCAGGTGGGCTTGTTTTAACCATCAGGGCAGGTGAGCTTGTTTTAACCATCAGGG